GGGTATTTTCAGGTTGGAGCAAGCCTTGTCACAGAGTTGCCCAGGAATCAATATTTGGAGCTTTGCTTCCCTTATACATATTAATAATTTAGATCTTGGTGTATAGGAAATAATGTCAAAGTTTGCGGATGACATAAACTTGGAAGAATTGTAACCTGTAAAGGGGACAGTGTAGAACTTCAAAAGGACATTGTCAACATTCGTGGAGTGGGTGGATAGGTAGCAGATGATGTTCAATTTGGGGAAGAATGAGGTGATGCACATTGGCAGAAAGAACACAGAGAGACAGATAAAATAAAAGCTAGTCTAAAGGGTGTCCAGGAGTAGACAGACCTGAATGTATAAATGCATAAGTCATCAATGGTAGATTAAATGGGTCGAGAGATTTGTTAAAATACAACATATAGTATTGTAGGCTTAGAGAAGAAGAGCATAGAAATTATGTTAAATTTTTATATAACATTGGTCAGAGTTCAGTGGAGTATTATATGAAGCTCTGAACGTCACATTTCACAAAGGATATGAATGCATTGGAGTGAGTGTAGAAGGGGTTTACAAGAATTTTTCCAGGGATGGGAAACTTCGTTATGAGCATAGGTTGGAGAAGGTGGGACAGTAGGGAGGGGAGTTTTCAAAATCATGACGGATTTAAACAGAAAGATAGGAAAAAACTATTCATGTTTGTAAAAGGATCGAGAACCAGGGGACATAGTTTTGCAAATGTGAGATTAATATAACACAGTGTGGAGCTGGAGGAACACAGCAGGCCAGGCAGCATCAGAGGAGCAGGAAAATTGATGTTTCGGGTCAGGACTCTTCTCCAGAAGGGTCAACTTTCCTGCTCCTCTGATGCTGCCTGCTGTGTTCTTCCAACTCCACACTGTGTTATCTCTGACTCCAGCATCTGCAGTTCTTGCTATCTCTAAGATTAATATAAGCCTTTTTACACAGTCAATAGATTTATACTGCACTGCTTGAAAATATGATGGATGCAGGTTCAACTGAGGCATTCAAGAGGGCATTGGATGTTTATTTAACACAAACAATGTGCAGAGCTATGAGGAAAAGATAGAATTTTAGGACTGAGTTAAAAATACTCAGAGCTGCTGCAAACACATTAGACTGAATGCCTGCCCCATCCCCACTGCACTGTATTAATTCTATGATTCTGTGATAAGTGGCTTCTGTATCTAACATTCTGGATCCATTTATAGTGCTCAGTATGAAATGATATAACTCCAAAATATTTTAAGTTCAGCTCCTCAAAATGCCACAAAATCTTATGACTTGACATTTATGATACCAATGACATCATTTAGAAGTCTAACCAACAGTTTTATGTGGTTTTTGAAGATTGTTTGAATTATGCACATTGCTCAAAGATTTCAGGGCACCAACGTTAAAAATTAATAAACTAGTTTCCTACAAAAGGAGATAATGCATGTATTCAATTCAGCTATGTTAAATGTCAAACAGTGAGAGTAAAATTGAACTCTCATCACTATTAGATCAACATTTTTACTGTTCTTTTATTTTCCTTTCAATTCAGTGAATAAATTCAGTATGGAAACTCGTTAGCCTTTGAATAATAAAGTTAAAGTCAAATTTAAATTAACTTTAACAAAAACAGAAATTGCTGGAGAAACTCAGGGCTGGCAGCATTTGTAAAGAGAGAAACAGTTAACGTTTCAAGGCCAGTGACCCTTGATCAGAACAGAAGCAGCTGGGAAAGGGTGGTATTTATGCTGATATTAGGGGGATGTATGAGGTGGGTGTGGAGGGAGAGTGTGGAATGGAGTGAGTAGAACACATGGAGACATGCAGAAACAAGGAAGAGAGCTAAATAGATTGATTACTGACGATAAGCCGAGAGAAGATAAATGCTGAATGGGTTCTAACAGGAAGGGTGAATAGTTAAAAATGGGCCTCACGTTGTGGGAGTGGGTAATGAACATGAAGGAAGGTGTTCCTTTTCTCAAATTGTTAAACTCAATGTTGAGTAATGAATGCTGTAAGCTATCTAGACAAAAGATGAGGTGATGTTCCTCCAGCTCGCTTTGAGCTTTGCTGGAGCACTGCTGCAGGCCTGCAACAGAAATATTGGCACAGGTTCACAATGGGTATTGAAGTGGGAGGTAATTGGAAGCTCTGGATCATTTTTACAGATAGAGCAGTGGTGTTCCACAAAGTGATCACTTAGTCTGAGTTTTGTCTCCCCAGTATTTAACTGCAGGGGGAGCCTATAAAATGCTGTTTTTCAACTGTCTTTTCAGGTCATATCATCAATTCATGGAAAAACACTTTATATATTTGATAGATTGGTTGCACATAGTAATGACTACATTGCTAATGATTTTTAGAAGTCACTATATATTTTTTAAAATAAACTTTTAAGAAGAGAAGAATGCAGAAAAGATTACAATATTGATGGAACTGTGAATATTGATGGTGCTTTTCTGATAAAATAAAAGATATTTTAAAAAGAATGTCTGTTTTATTCGTAATCATTGCACTTGGAATTAAATACATGAGCAAACTATTGGGTTAGTTGGACACTAAAACCTGAAGCCCAGTTAAGCATTGCAGTCCGACATGTTTTGTCATTGTACCTTGTGGAACTATAAATTAAGAATCTAATGCACAATGTAAATTTGAGGTTTTCCCTTTGTGGAAAAATGATGGTGAGAAATAGAACATGCACATAAACAGAATGTCTCCCAGCAAAGCCTGCTTCACTCTCCTGTATTATTGTCCTTGTGTTGAAATCCCTTCATGGCCTCATCCTTTACTATACACCAGCCCAACAACCCCCTCTACATTCCATCCAATTGACTGTTAACATTTTGTCCAATTCCACCTCATGTCACCTCACCATTGATCGCCATGACCTCAACCACACAGATACCTCCATCTGGAAGTACCTTCCTAAACCCCGTTACCTTCCTTTAATATTGTAAAGAATCCCTTGGAAGCTCATTTCTTTGCGCAAGTTTGAGGTCATGGCTCTTACTTGATCCTTCTTTATCCCAGCATCCATTTTCCTGCATAGTAAGTTGGGTTGTTTCACTGTGTTAAAGACGCTATGCAAGTACAAGTCATTATAGGTGATATTGTGGAGTCATGGTGGCCCCAGCACAAGGCTTTGCTGCAAAGCTACAAAAAACGCGAATGGCATTCACAAAACCCAATATATTATCAAGTATTCTGACTGAATTTTAACAGCAGGAGCACGAGTTTGGGTTTCATTGCAGGGTTAAAAACATGTTGATAGCATATTGAGAAGTCAGCCCTAATCATCCTACTTTAACATTTAGCTGCAGCATATTAAATTCCAAATGAGCAACTCCTTCGAAAAAGACAGCTTGATTGTTTCAATATGTCAATTGCCCATTTATAACTTAATTAATATGGAATTTGCAACTTAGCTGAGAATCCCTGGGTCTCCCAGGCCTCTTAGAACTTGCCATTGAAAACAAGACAAGAATTCTGCAGCATTTAAGGAGGCTAAAGGCATGACAGAAAAATATGTCACCAATGTTGACACAATGCAGCTGCTTTCTTGCAGCTTATATAAAAGGTTTTGTTTGCAGTACTTGTGCTGCAATACTTCAATAATTTTGTAGATTTGTACATCTGATCTCTGCTTTGATTTATCAGGTCATCAGGAGTACCACTTTTGCTGTTTTAGTTTGAACCTCAAGAAAAGGCTAAGGAGATGAACAGTGTGAAAAGAACTAGCAGGAACGCACCAGCAGGAGCTTGGGTAATACCAGCAAGAACAGCAACAGCCTGCTCTTCGTAGACCTCCAGCTTGACAGGACAGAGGGGAAGAGCAGGGAAGTGCAGCTTGCTAGGAGGCCATGAAGGCAGCACAGGATGTACAGGCAGAGGATTTGCTTCCTTGACACATCAAAACACCAGTGTTTCAAGTGGATCAGGTTACAGAATAAAATGCTGTCAGATATTTTCAGCTTGCAACCTTGGTTGGGGATTCTTGATATACTTGCAACACTAATGGCCTATTGCTAGATATTTTGGGCAACTTTCTTTGAGGTTAGCAGAGATCACCACAGCTGCTAACTGCAAAAACCTGCTAATAACACAGTGGCAAGGCTAAAAGGTTTCCTGTAGCTGCTTAATATTTGGTTTCCCATGTTCCTTTTACCTGCAAGTGAATAATTTTAAGTCAAAGTTATCGTGTTTATCCATCTTGAAAGCTTCAATACATCTATTTGGACCCGTTTATTAGTCATGCAAGATCCTTTGGACAGGACCCGAAAAACAACAAAAAAAGCAGTTTTAGAAACGCTCCCAGTTTTAGACAAATTTGTGTTCTTGCTTACATTTATGTTTATATCCCTCAATCAATAAGGCTATACAAAATATTTCCTTTCATTGGTCAACAAATTATCATTAGAAATCAATAGGTCTCTTCCCTGTCATCTCCAAATAAATCTCAAAGATGGTATATTTTCATACATAAAGGGGCAGAAGTCCTCTATCTCATTCTGCTGCCACGCATTTTAAGTTGGGTGGCTCAGTGGTTAGCACTGCTGCCTCTCAGTGCCAGGGACACAAGTTCAATTCCAGTCTTGGGTGACTGTCTGTGTGGAGTTTGCATGTTCTCCCCATGTCTGCATTATTTTCTGCTGGCTGCTGTGGTGTCCTCCTGCAGTCCAAAGATGAGTAGGTTAGGTGGACTGGCTGTGCTAAATTGTCCCATAGGGTCCAGGGATGTATAGGCTGGATGGTGACTGTGGGGTTATGGGTTTAGGGTGAGGTTGTGCTATTTATGCTATGCTATTCTTGGAATAGCACAACAACATATTTGCTTTAGTATGACAAATTCCACTGCAAACCATAAACTGTTCTTAAGAAGTTGAGAAAGCAATTTAGTAGATCGTAAGAAGTGATAAACATTTGCCTACCAGTGCTAGCTGTATCGATCGCATGTTGTAATTTTAAGGCAAGTTCAAAAATTTGTAACAATAATACTATGGAAATACGAATAACTTTTTTTATTTACATGGTGTTTGAAAACTTGCTTTTCATTTCAACACTCTTGAAAGGTTACAATCACCTTAGAGTCTTCAAAAAGTCTGTTCTGACAATCATGGGGGCATCTGCACAAGTACTCCCTAAAATGCAATTACCTAATAAAGGTGCTGTATGATAACTGGTATAACACAAATTAGTTGGTACACAAACTAACAAGCAATAGGCCTTTTGAAGGATAATGTTTTATGTTACAGAAATAAAAATAATATTTTTAAAAACAGATTTAATGAAAACATTGCATTATATGACCAATAATCATAACTATTTCATCACAAAAGCTTTCAACTCATGTCTAAAGAACAGGTTATATTTGAGTAAAGGGATTTTTTAAAGATAAGCTGTGTTGTGAATGTGTGCCTTTTGCAAAATCTTAGAGAAGGCACAGGTACAATTCTGTCACAAGGACCACAATTTGAACAATAGGACACAGTTCATGCACAAACCAAATAACAACAGGTATATACCAGACGTACATATATAAGGCAATTAATTCATAAAGTATTATTACTAGCACCCATTCAGTGGCAAAGACAAGTAATAACACAGACAATGTCCAATACTAGTACTACTCAATGTTACATTCTAACTATACACACAAGCTGTAGGTACCTGGAAAAGCAGTCAAATCTCATTTCTAGCTAACTTACCCTCTGGTTTTGCACAGCTGCATTTGAGGATAGTGTTCTTAAGCATTTTTGACCTCAGATAAAACCATGGTGCATGGAACAACATAAAGGATAACAAAAACAAATTTCTTTGGTAGAAAATGCCTCCAGCCCTGGTGATTTGGAGTTTAGAGAAGATCATAAAAATCTCAAAGTTGAGCATAATTGAGTTCAAATGACAATTTGCAGATCATCTGAATGGGAAATCAATATTGTCATTGCAAGTCAATATTGCTTCACTTTTTTCGAGTTTCGTGGGATTAGAACATACAGATTTATATATTGTTGTTTTGTTGTAATGAAGTTTGACTGTTTTAGCTTGAAATGTTTCTCCACTTAGAATTATTACATCTCTACAGTGAGTTCATTCAGTTTTTGTTTGTATCCTTATAACACCATTTTCATTTGTGACAATTTTGTACACAACTCAATCTCAATATATTTCAGCATAAGCATTTTTCTTCAGTAATTTTAAAAAGGAAAACTGATGGAAGCGTTATAGCTGAATTGAAAAACTGAGCAGAAATCCAACAGGAACACTGTTTCTTGTGACTACAGAAGCACTGACTTATACATTAAACACAATGGTCATTATATAGTATTCATTATCGTTGATAGATATGATTAACTGAGCAAAGCAAAGTAGGTGTTTATTCAGATAAAAACAAATACTTATAGTATTGAGGTTGCTAGCCACTAAAATATATTTAATTATGTGAAAACTGAAAATATAGTTCAAAACAAAAAATTTAGATTGTTATATTGGTTCCTAACCCAGTTTATCTAAATTTTGATAATTATCTTCTTAATTTTGCAAAGTAGAGTAGAATCAAGAAGGCGGCTAATTTATTTTGTTTAAAACGTTGATAGGCAGATTTGAGTCTGGCTTACACATTTACTCAATTGTGTCTCAAGAATCTATGTCCCAAAGACATGAAATGAACATGTTATCATTTCAAGCTGAAGTAACTTATAGACCATATTTTTCCAAATAGTTCTTTAGACAACTCTGAATGTTATGCTCAGCTGGACCTTGCTAATGTTAAGTAGCATAGGTAAAGAAAACGTCAAAAGATTAAAAAAAAAGAATCCTATACTTATGGAAATTTCTTTTAAAAGAATGTGTGCCATTGTATGGGAAGTCAGGTCATCTTGCACAGATTAGAGCATAAATCTGTATTGTAGCAGCACAATATGAGTCTTCAGTGCAGCAGGTGATACCATAATATGATCTATTGACACTCATCCTTATCAGATAAGTGCAGACTGGATTCCTCATAACTGTGATAATACCTGTTTGTCTATCTGCCTTTAAACTCATTTTATCATTCCTTTTTTAATAAGTATACTGTATATAACTCAATCAGTACATTGTATCAATACTAAAACAGTGATAAAATACAAAGTACGGTTACACCATTTCACAAGATTACGTGGAAGATGCTGACATTATGTACTGCACATCGATAAATGAAAGTTAGTCTTTCCCCTAGTGGTGCCTATACGTTTTTTACAATAGTCTCACAGGATTTTCACCAAGGAGGTAATTGGCAGTTCAATGCCAAGAAAGTAAAACTCAGACTATTCATTGACCATTTCAATTTTTGGCAGAGTCAGAGAATATAGTAGATGTAATCACAATGTGCCTCAAGACTGTAAGCCTAATCTAAAATTGGATCAAGCATTTATACCAAATCGTTTAGAACACTAGGTGCTGAATAGTGAGATGTAATTTACCATGGAATTATAATGCCAAGCTTTGCAATTACTCCTGGATTTACTAATGTCATTCGAACATAAATGAATACTTTATGATATGATCATAACTACTAGTTTGTATGTAGCAAATAGGCATACGCATAGTAACCCCTTCCATCCTATTTTGGTAGGCATTAGAAACATAACATGGGGCTTAAAACAAATGCTCCTGTGACTGACAGACAAATCTTCCTTTCAACAAAGTACGGCTGTAGCAGAGAGCACTGGATGATGCTTGACTGAAAGTGTGCACCAATTTTTCAATTAGACATTGCTGGTGGCAGATCAGGACGCCTGGTTTGAATTATTTTTGGTTTTGGAGAATTCTTCGGTTCATCCTCATCCTCTGTTTCACTATCACAGACATGGACGACCACACTGGGAGTCGATTCAGTTCCTGCATGTAATTCATACTTTTCACCTATAAAAATCAAAAATGAAAGGGTTACAACTAAGGCAAAACATTATTTTACGATATTTTTACTTTTAAAAAGTTATTGGAGATACTTGCTTGACTTATTTTTGTAGCTCTGTGTATCGTAGATCTGTAATTGAGCTTGAGAAAAGCTAGGATTTCTTAATTGTGAGGGTGAAATTTAACAAAAGGCAGGATCTCAAAAATATCAATATCTCTGTTGAAAATTGTGTTCTTGATAAATATTCATTGCTTTGCTATAGGTGGAACAAAAGCACAGATAATGCAACATCCACGCTCTGCAGTATTTTAAAATGAACATATAATCATACAAATTAGGACCAGGAGTAAGCCATTCAGCCCCTCAAGCCTACTCTGCCATACAATAAGTTCATGGCTGATTTGATTGGAACCTCCGCCTTCACAGCTATCCCGATAACATTTTACCCGCTTAATTAGTAAGAATATCAGTTTGAAACTTTTATGACATATTTTACATCTAATCAATGTATCTGGAATTAATAGTCAGATGAGACTGGGAGCCGACACACACGAGAGTTGAGCCTCCACTTGCCCCAAACAAGACCTTCATCACAAGGACAGGAAGATGAGGCGATCAAGGTGCAGGGAATTCCTAAATCAAGTGTTTCAGCACTTTGCATCTTCAGTGGAATCTTGCATGAGGTTTGGTGAACCGTCAGTTGGTTAGATTGACCTTCAGGGGTCCAGAGCAGGACAATATTGGATCTATGACCATCTGGCAGCAAAAATTTCATTTTAAACTTTTAAAATGGGCCTTTTACAATTAAGGTTGTAGGTCTACCACTAAATTGTATTCAGCATTTTCATGCCAAGCCTAGACATGCAACTTAGAGCCCGATTTCTAATTGTTAGCCATTAGTCTGTGCTCTGGAGGTTCTCTTAATTAAATATGTACTCATCATTGGTATGAATATTAAATAACTTCATCTAAGCTGAAAACTTTACTAAGTCAGTGGTGGATGCATCCTGGCTTTCATGCTACAATAACCTGTCACAACTCACATTTCCAAGAAATTTAAAGTCAATGCTTTTAATCCATCATTTTAACACTAAATTAGATATGTGAATTTACACCTCCTGCCTCATCTTGGACTGTGCAAAAGTAACAATTGTGTTAGTATCTTCAACCTTCTACTTTAAAACTGCTGACCTCTGTACTGGACTCTAAATGTATTTGGGGTCTTTAAAATGACAAAATAATTTCATAAGATATATTGATGAACATTTCCTCTGGATTGGATCAGGGCACTGTTTTAAAATTAGACTAATTCATTCAGGAGTGAAATCAGGGAGTACTCGAGTCTGCAAAATGTGAAAATGTAAAATTCTTTTGCCCAAAAGGCTGTGGATGCTGTGTCAATTGAAATTTCAAGTCTGATGTTCACATATTTTATTTGACCAAGGTATCGGGGATTATGGATCAAAGGCAGGCAAATGAAGATAATGTACAGATAGCCATAACCTAACTGAATAGTGAAGTTTGCTTAATGGCTGGATGGCAAACTCCTATTTCTACATCCATGCCAGAAAGACAGCTTTGTAGGTCAACTGTCTCATGTTTATTCAACTTATCTGCATCCAAGTGACTATCCTCAGTGCCTCTAGATCCTAATGGCTCCCACCAATCATGGTTAAACTTGAGTACTCTAACTCTGACAATTACTGAAGCTGCATAAAATCAACCTAAAATATTGTGACTGTTCTTTAAAATAGGCGAATATTCTATGAGTTTTTTATTTTAGTAAACCAGTTACAATTACCGCAAGCAGCAAGATCATATTGTTCTAAAATCTGCTTTACAGTGGACACATGACTTGCTTACCTGAACAGGCCATTAGTGCCGACAGTCAAAGACTATTGATGGCAGCAAAATGTTAGCTAAATGGAATAGCTAAAAGGATTTCTTTAGATCAATGTGTACTTTTAAGATCAATCTGCAGGTTAGGAAGATTGAAACTAACTGAGATTTAAACACATCAGTAGCAGATTGCTATATATGCCTGTGTATCGGAATCTGTGTTTCCAGTTTCATTGTAAGGTATTAGGATTACTTCATGGCCAAGTCAGGAAATTCATTGACAGTCTCTAATGGCAGTATTTAAGTATTTTGTCTGCAGTTAGTTACAACAAGTTTATTAAAATAATGTTCTGGCCAAAATGGAAGCTCTATCAACATGGATTAAAGTTGCTATAATAAAGTGAGTCCTGTATTTATGTAGTGCCTTTCTGACTATTTGACATCCCAAATCACTTTACAGTCAATGAAGTACTTTTTGAGGCGAGTTTGCACCCCCAAAACACTAAAGTAAAACGGCCAGAAAATCTGTTTCTATAATGTTGATTAAGTGGTTTGGTCACTTAGGACAATTCCCTTGCTCTTTTTCAAAATAATTTTGTGAGATCTTTTAACTCTATCTTAAAGCACAGACAGGCCCTCAGTTTAATATTTCATCTGAAAGATTGCACCTCCTATTGTGCTGCATTCCCTCAGTTTCACACTGGAATGTTAGTTTTGACTTGTGTGTAGTGGGATTTGAACCCACAAACTGCTACCCCAGAAGCAAGATTGTTACCAATGGAGCTATATCTGAGAATTTATTGATTAGGTTTTACAGTACTGCACATCCTTATTGTTATTACTTTCAGCCTGCCAGTCAAAATGACTCAACACGCAACTCAGACTCAGCCCAAAAAAAAACATGGGATTCATATACAGAAAAGATTTCAGATTAAGAATATACCATCCAATCCTAATAAGATTGGCCATTTTTCAGCTCCACACATTTGGCTTCTCACTCTTACCTTTAATTTCTTCTCCCTAAACATATCAAACTGTTTTTGAATGCGTTGATCTTGTCTGCTTCTATTATTTTGTTTGGAACCTTTTTCCATAACTCTCTATTAATTTGATTGTAAATGTTCTATGTGCTTTTCCTCAAAAATTTCTTTTCAACATGTATCATTCACTACAATGTATAACGTGCCTGCATCAGTTTGGCCAATACACTTCATAATCCAAAAACTTGAACTGAACCATCTCAAAGTCTCATATTTTCCAAATGAATCAAGTCCAACTGCTGTAATCTTTCCTCTTAACAAATTCTGGAAAGCAGAATCATCTTTATTGCTTGTTGAAGATACATCTGAAGAAGTAGGTTTTTGAAAGTAGGGGAAAACTTGGCTATTTGTAAATCCTGTCTGTGTCAGCATTAAAAGACAAGTCAAGACCAAAGTACCTGTACTGCAAGCTTTTAAGCTCTGGCCGTGAGGGCACACAGCAAACACAAGGGAATGATGATAAGGCTGAGTAAGGCAGAGATACTGTGAGCATCCAATCAGGCAAAAAGTGAGTGCTAACAGATCAAGGGAGGAGATCAGAGATGCACTCTGCTCCAGTTCAGCAAATGGGTGTTGCTTATCCCTGTGTGCAAAATATCCTAGCAGCAGAATTTTGATAAAAGAGCTCATACACTCCAAAGTGCGGCATTGAATTGAAGATCAGCAATATGCCATGATGTTGTGAGGCCGGTACATGTCCGATGCCAGGGGGCTGCAGGCAGTCGCTGCCAGAGGAGAGCCCTGAGATGTTGGTGACGGCTGTCCAAATACAGGTCTGGTGAAGCAAGCAGCAAGCTGGAGTGGTCAAGTACCCACACTGATCTTAATGTCAGGTATTGTCACAGTCTTGTTTCTATCCAACAGATAGGAGAATGGGAATCTAGATATCAATAAAGGTGAGATTAGATAATAATGACATATTCATAAATGCTACTGCATGCAAATAGGTCCCTCACCTCTGACTATTGAGATACCTCATTCAACACTTGGTTGGAGAATTGAGCACTTTACTCCTTCCAGTAAGATGGTGGTGGAGGAGGGCTTCTGCTTTTCTCTTTGATTCTTTTACTTTTCCCCTCTCTCTTTTCTCGTCAGAGGTCATAGAATCCCTACAGTGTGGAAACAGGCCCTTTGGTCCAACAAGACCACACCGACCCTCAGAGCATCCCACCCAGACCCATCCCCCTATAACCCACCTAAGCTACACATCCCTGAACACTATGGGCAATTTAGCATGGCCAATCCACCTAGCCTGCACATCTTTGGATTGTGGGAGGAAACTGGAGCACCCGGAGGAAACCCACACAGACATGGGGAGAATGTGCAAACTCCACACAGACAGTCACCAAAGAGTGGAATCGAACCCAGGTCCCTGGCGCTGTGAGGCAGCAGTGCTAACCACTGAGCCACCCCGAAGAAAAATGAAAAGATCTGGAATTTTTTAATTGTATTTTACCTAACTCTTGTTGAGGAGCTCAATCATGGCAACGGCATCAGCAGCAAGTAAGCCCAGCACAGACTCAAATCAGTCGGCATCTCTACATGCTGGTGGCGGAGTAGACTCACCCACTCCATCTGTTCTTATTTTCTTTTTTTCAGTTTTAGCTTTTTTTTCGTTTTTTTTTCTGCTAACATACCTTCTGGAGAGAGTCAGTGGTGGCGGCAGTATCGGGCTTGTTGAATTTGGCGGTTGGCTAGATGTCTAGTGCGAGACAGCGGTTAGGGGCCTAACCCAGGACTCTTGGTGAGTTCCCAATGCCCGACGCATGGACCGAAGGAGAGGCCGAGGATTGGTGCGTGGACTGAAGGTGAGGCCAAGGCCCGGCGCGGACAGCATCTGAATCAGAGCTTTGGCAGTCTGAGGTCTCAAGAGCGAACCCAATGAGGCAATGGAAGTTCCCCTGACATCGGCAGTGACGACAAGAGCAGGGGAGAGCGAATCAGCACAGGGAAAGCATGCTAAAGTGGAGGAGATCGAGCCTGTGTAGTAAGTGTGGTAACACCATGGCTAAGCACTTAAGAAAGCATGCAATGGTTGAACTTTTAGCTTTATTTCTTCATTTTCTGACTTAATACTAAGAAGGACTGTAAGGTTTAACTTTTAACTTTGTTCCTTACTTCTTTCT